GAGATGTTGTTGACGTCATGGAGAAGTGTGATGATGGATGGTTTGTGGGTAAGACTGTAAACTCCAGTTGCTGGTTACTACACAAGGAGTGTTTTAGTGTTGTTCATTTATTTGCCACTAGCTGGCGCTATTGTCCAACCAAAAAATACTGCCAGCACTGTCATGGTTCAAACAGCCCTTGGATGTTTGGAGAGAAAAAAATATAAGGTGGATTTGTCATTACTAATTATAATAATCCTATATGTCAATACACACACTTGCCTTTACATTTTTTATCATATAGATAGATACATACAGTATTTATGCTGGCCTCATTCCATATTTAATATTTTAGGAACGTCCAGGAGAACCAAGTTTTTTGGAACCTTTCCTGGGAACTACGTGAAGCGGCTATAAATGGACTTTTCCAATGCACATCTACTGTGGAGAGATGGACAATGTCACTTACAGCTACCTGCTGGAATTAGCATGACATGTTCCAGTCATCAACCTGTTGGACTGACGGAAAGTGATGAAACTGATGAAAAGCCAATGGCCTTCGAGGGGTTATTGCACCATTTATGTCATTTGGTTCAAATATGTTGATAATTACATTCGGAAAGCATTACATTAATTAGGAATTTCAGTAAAAGCTTTAAAACATTTGGTTGCCTACATTTTTCTCATAGTTGAAAATAATCAGTTCGCTTGCCTTCTAGTTAAGCTGATGAATTTCAACATAATGAGTAATCAAGTGCTCTATTTATTAAGAGGCACGTTTTCTTTCATTGGAAGGATGAACTACAGTAGGTGAGGAATGATCTACTGCTGGTGGCCCTTGTACACTGGACCTGATGTCTGATCTGATCTAGATTGTATAGACTGAACAGTATTGCAGTGTCATGTTTGTGTCAGGCAGTGGATATTACAGATGACCATTCCTGCCAACATGTATCGTTTCAGTATGTTATTAACTTTCTGGTTCAGAAGAATGACCTCTGGTTTTCTAGGGCTCTACGTTCTTCCTCCAGACATTCCTTTGAGCATTTGAAGGATTTTACAGATAAGAGAAAAATATTTTTGATATTTTTCCATCTAAAGAGATAACGTTTTTGAGAATGCAATATCCATAACAAAAAGCATTTTGGCAAAAGACCGTAGTAAAATGACTCAATGTCTCTACTGCCTATAATATTTCTGTGTTGGGTGACCTTGCACATCACTTTTGGTTTACACACTGTAATCTATTTATGGCCAATAAGAGGAGCACATGATGTCATAATTACTAAACTGCAATTGGCAGCCATGTATTTTGTATATGTCGCCTTCCGATTGGTTCAATTTGAGTGAGGAAATGTACGTAAAAATCTATTTTTGTTTATTTGATCATTCAGCAAACGTTTTTCATTATGATATACTTAATATATTGTTGATTGTTCTACATGTCTATGATCTCTGTTCAGCACAGCGATTACACTCATATTCAAATGTTCAATTTAAAATATGCAGCGTTTCAATCTTCCAGTGAGACTGTATGACTAACCGTTTTATTCCAGTCAGTAAAGCAAGAAATGTAAATGTGTCAGTCAGTAGAAACATGAACCAATAATATATGTCATTTAGGCAATATTATACCTCATGGAATTATGCAGTCTCTGTGTCTGTCAATGTGCTTAATGTACCAGTAAAATCCTGCGCATGTTGTTTCATAAAGAATTGCTCATCAGTGCAAACGTATTATTGTACCAGTATGAGAATTCATCTGGCTCTGTGAACCTACCAGAGATCTTCATTGTGGTTCAGTTAAAGACTTGGCAGACTGTCTTCCATTCTTAAGCAGAAGTGAAGTAAACTGTGCTGTTCCTGGTGCATAATTTTGCCACGTAATTTATGTAATGACATGGCTATTTGTAATATTTAATAATGCACGATTCAGGAACACATGTTTATAAAGTACAGAACACTGTGATATGTTCAGTAAATTAAACCTATCTGCCACTGACTGAACATTACATTAGAGTGTGTGATGGACTCTGATTGGATAAAAACTGATAATTGCTCTAATATCATTGGTCAAAAACAGAAAAAAATATAACATCACTGAATTATATAAAGGAATGCCATGCAGAGTCCTCAACAAGTGCAACCACTGATTAATAAACAAAAAGTGTCTGATTAGGTTTTCCAAAAAAGTTAAAGCAATCATTGATTTTGAAGCCTTTGTCTTTTTTCTCTGTGGACTAGTGAATAAATAAATTCTATCAGTTTTCATCAGACTATGTTCTCAGTGGGATTCACAGTCTCCGTAAGTGCATAGGACAATCGTGCCATCCTGAACATTGGCCTTCTGCTAGCAATCTAGTCCCTGCAGACCGTCCAGTCTATAAACAGCTACATGGTGTCCTGGAGTTGTCCCTCTTGCTGCCATGGAGACACAGTAAACAGAGGGTCAGTCTGAGAGAAAGAACCAGAGCCATCCAGCCTCCTCACAGGAGGCAGGGGTTTCTGTCTAGACTCTGTGCTTTTCCCACATTTGTTTTTAATGGAGCAAATTCTCACACGCTCTTTTAAGCACTTGATAAATATATCTGGGAACAGAGCGCAAACCCCAGTTAACATCCATGCTTAGAAGGCACAGTTTTGCCCAAAATCATCATGTACTCACTCTCATGTTGTTCCAACCCCCTTGAATTTTGGAACATGAGGGTGAATAAATGACAGAATTTTCATTTTTGGACAACCCGTCCCTTTCATTACTAGAGGGGGTACATGATGTGACAGCCTGGGTTAGAGAGGGATTTTCTGGTGTTAGGGGTTCCTCGGTTTGATGCAGCTCAGACCATGACAAACAGCTCGTCCCTGGCACACCAAACCAGGAGCTGTTCAAGCCTACAATACAAGTGCTCTCAAGCTAGAATTTGGCCTTCATATAAAGAGCATAGTGCTCCAGTGCCATGTAGTGCAGTACAGTATGCTCCTCTCTGTGTAGGTACTTTGGAAACAAGTATCACGTGCACGAATGACTGTATTTCATACATATAGCTAATAAATAGGATGGCAGACAGAAGCATCAGTACACCCTTCTTGTACAAATGACAACTGTGAAACTTAGCAATTTGACGATTTATATCCATATATCCAAAACTGTATCAAAAAAGAGAGTTTTAAAATGTCCCAGGTGTACTGAGGAAAAGCTAGAAATGCTCCTGATGGCAGCACTGAAATAAAGAATGGCATCCAAAATATTGACTAGGCCTACTGTACTCTGTAACATCAAGTTGTAAATAAAACAAAGATTTTTGAAGTATATTTCACAAAAAACAAAACAAAACAAAAAAACACTCCTGCTTCATATAAACAAGAAAATCCTGAACACTATTCTCAACTTGCAAAAATATATGAGCCTTTTTACCTAAAAAAAAAAAAAAAATCACTGTTACTTTCCGCTTGTTTGTAATTAGTGAAAATTACTAGCAATTTCTGATTGGATTTCTGAGTAGTTTACTACATTCCCTGCTAATATACTATAGTGGTATATTTGGTTACAACAAACAAGTATTTGTACACTAATCACAAATATATAACAAAATGTAAGTACTGTATATTAAACTACCTGCAATAAGCACAATATTTAAGCAAAACAAAAAGCTTTAAAAGTTATCGAGCAAAATTTAACGGGACGTTGAGAACGCTCTCTATGTGTGTGTGTGTGTGTGTTTTTATAAAGTTGAAGTTTAGCTTGATTGCTCGGCGCTCCTGCGCGCGAGTCTAAAAAAAGATATATGTCCGTCTATCGCATGTTTAAATATAAAAACAATATAAAAAAAGAAGCGCATTGGAATGGACACAATGCAGGATCTCGAGATGTTTACATTTGACACGACATCTTAAAAATGTGGTGCTCATTCGCTAGAATCGTACGGGGTTGTAGTGCATTATGTTTACATGACAACGTGGAAAAACGATTGAAAAGAAGCACAGTGGAACGTAAGAAGGCGTTTTGTGTGAACCATCTCTAACAGACGTTTGTTTTGTCAGATGTCATTAGATAGTTAATGTGATGAACTGCACCTGTGCTAGTCTGCTAGGACACCTGTGTGAACTTTGTACATGCGCTAAAAATATCACTTGAGGTCACTGCAACAGTCATTGCAAAAATGGCTCAGAAAAGTTAAGTTAGTTCGGAGAAAAGGTTGGTTTGAAGTTTTAAACCAACTAACGCAATGACATTCATACATTTTTAAGCATGGTTTATGTGTCCAAAACTGTTTTTGGAGCCACTTCATGTGTAATGTAACTATGCCATCAAGACACTCAGAAAAGTTAAGTTAGTTCGGAGAAAAGGTTGGTTTGAAGTTTTAAACCAACTAACGCAATGACATTCATACATTTTTAAGCATGGTTTATGTGTCCAAAACTGTTTTTGGAGCCACTTCATGTGTAATGTAACTATGACATCAAGACACTAGGCTAGATAAATTAACTTTTTTTTTTTTTTTGGTGGTAAAGTAAGAGAATTATCACTTGAAATGAAATCCAAGCAGTTTTCAGTGTTCCCTTATGTGGTTGTGTTATTGAAATTGTTTACATTCCCGAGAGGAGATGTTTAAAAGAGCAACACATGCTGTGTTGACATGAAAATATGACATATCGTTTTGTTATTGTGTTCTGTAAATAGTTTGTAATCTGCTCATCAGCAGCAAAGGCTCTGACTCAACGCTCAGCCTTAATTTAATGATGAAGTAGCCTATACTCCTCTCAGTCAGGCACAGGTGTCTGCCGGCGGTAAGGAAAGAAAAGTCTAGACAGCAGACAGGGTGATGACACAGCGAAGAGAGTCACTGGTGGATGATTTTAGCTATCAAACCGCTAAGACTTATGGGAAAAGAGGATTAATCATAAAGGGTGCAAGGTTTGGATCTGAAAGAGGTGGGGGGAGAGTTTGAACCCTCAGTTTCTCATTCTACCCTGTGACCTCATGAGAGGAGTGGCATCCTGGCATCATCTTTCTTTCATTCACTCACTCACTCTCCTAACCCCACACGCATGCTTAAAAGGGACTCAGAGACAAGCACTGGCTTCCAATCGTGGTTGGGTGAGCCATTCGTCCAGGGTAGGAGAGATAGAGCTGAGATACTGCAAATCTCTCGCCAATAAGAGGAGACTGTACTGAGGAAGCAAGTTCAACTTTGAGAAAGAGGAGGCTGAACAAAACAAGACAGATATGCCACAGAACGTGGTTCTGGACGGGCCAGCCCCTTGGGGATTTCGGCTTTCAGGAGGCAAAGATTTTAACCAGCCGCTGACCATAACTCGGGTAAGCGAAAGCCTTTGGCTAAAGTCTGCTGCTTTACAAATTCCACTCAGAGATAATGATGCTTTTGATGTGCTGGGTAACACTGCCGTGGGCATGAGAAACCAGTGGGTGGATCATAAAAAAAAAACATTCCCAGGACCTCACTTTAGACGTAACTGAGGAGTACAGTGAGAAATATTTTTAGAGCCACAAGTTCAAACTGACATTTTTAGAAACATCTGTGGTTGTCAGGGAATCATTTCCCAATAGAGACTTTCTATGTTAGATATAATTACCTAGTTTTGCTCTTCATGTCATTGTGATTTACTCTAGTAGTGCATTTTAGGAAATCAATACTTGTATTCAGCAAGGATGCATTCTATTTATCAAGTAAAAGACATTTAAAATGCTACTTTTTTAATTAAAAAAACCTTTCTTTTGAACTTTCAGTATTGATAATAAAAACAAATATTTTTGAGCATCAAATCAGCATACAGGAATTTCTCCTCATTTGACACTGAAGTCTGGAGTAATGATGCTGAAAATTCAGATTTACCATCACAGGAATACACTGCTTTTTAAGATATACTGAAATAGACGACAGAAAACGGTTTCAAATTGTATCAAATTATATTTCAGAATATTACAGCAGTATTTTGGATCAAACAAATATAGCCTTGGTGACCATAAGAAACTTCTTTCAAAACATCAAAAATCTTACTGTATTAAAGGTTACGTATTACAGCTGTACCTAAAAGTGTATATTACATGAACATGCATTTTCTCTTCCAGTAACTAACATGTTAACAAAACGTCAGGGACACACACACACACACACACACACAGAGGCTAGTCTAATGCCTGGCTCCGGAGGGGATCTCTACACCTGTTGTCTGAATGAATCGCAAAGCTCTTAGTCCAACAGTATTTTAAACAGCCGATGAAGTCTGGACATTTGTGGTAACAGAAGAGGTCAAAGGTTAACTGAGCACTCAATGATATGTGTGAGATGAATTGAACAATCTCTAATTTAAGCAATTATTTCAGCACAATCTCAGGCCTCATATCCACTCAGATTGTTCATAAATGTCTAAAACGGTCTAATCCTTCTTTATAGATCACCCGAAGGTGGTGAAAGCGCCCCATTTCATAGATAAAGTTATTTTGAGCTGAATAAAAGGCAGGTATAATGGCATGCTAGATTTATGCTCAGCAACTGCACCGTTTATGTGTTTTGGTTGAAGGCTAAGAAGGTCCTAAGGCTCCACTTGACTAAAACCACTTGACTAAAACTATGAATTTCCCTTATACAGAAAGACACTACAAACTGCCTGTCTAACTACCTCTGTGTCTCTATAAGAACTCTATTGGGAGTTTGACTGTGGGAAATTCTATGTATTGCACCTACAGAACAGCTACATAATGACTTTTGTATCTCATCAGTCTTGTGTCTGAACAGCTTTCCACAGGAAGCGCTGCATTCTGATGCATGGAATGTAGCGGAATGATTAGTAGCTCAGTCTCATCGACAGCAGCTCTTTGATCGTGACATTCAAGTACATTCTTAGTGAAAAGCCAGTTCTGACATTCGCCATAAATTGTGGAAAAAACGCAGCAGAGAACGGACAGGTCGTCGTAAAAATGATACTTCCCATACACCCTGATTGGAACCAGAACAGCGGGTCTCACGAAAAATGAATTGCCCTAACAGAAAAAAACTGTGGTGCTACCATAGTAAAGTGATTTATACCATGGTACTCCAATGTACTTCAAAGAATATCATGGTATTGCCAATAAACATGTCTGAAAAGTATATATTTTTTCTGGTGCAGCACTGGATTTGGTCACAATAGGGAAACAGAAACTTTCAGGTGGACTAGACGTGAAGTCTCAGCTGAGCAGAATGATGTCATTTTTCAAATAAACCAACGAGGTTTATTTAACATTCCTAGCTAATGACTTCCCTGCAGTATCCAAGTAAAGTGACATTGGATTTGATTTCAAACAAAAACAATAAAACCCACTCAAACATAATTTAAATGGATTAGAATGAGCATGTTTCTTATTTCGGTGTATGCCAATGCCAGATCCTGAAAGCTAAATATATTGCGTCTCTAAGCAGAGAAATACTGATGACTAATGCAGAATGCGTGTGGTTTCTTTGTAAAACCGCTGTCTGTAATCATACATGTATTGATGCCAGCAAGGTGGCTCTTTTCTCATACTATGAGCCCTGATGTTCTTATTCCAGTAACATTAGCCTCAATTGATGCGGGCTTGCCAGCACAGATGGGGCACAGCACAGCACAGACCGTCTAAATTATACTGCTGAATTAAAAATGTAAATGACCGTTATATTTCTAAATCCAGTCATTGAGCAGAAAGCTTTAACAAATCATTTATTACAGGGGCAGTCCTTCTGGATTTAGCCTGGTTTAGTGCTTTTTGCTCAAAGGCATGATATGGATAGTTCATGGTTGAGCATCAGGTTTTAGCCACTTCACCCAAAAATCATTTACTCACCCTTATGTCAGCACAGCTTCTGTCACGAAAACAAATTCCTTGTATGTGTAAACATACCTGGCAATAAAGCTCATTCTGATTCTGATTCTGATGTCGATTTTCGTGTAGGTGCACTCACCCTTATGTCAGCAGAATACCTAACAATTCACATTTACTCACCCTCATGTAGTTCCAAACCTGTATGATTTTCTTTCTTGTGTGGAACACAAAAAGGAAAAAGTGTTTTGCAGCAATGTCATGGAAAAACAATTTTTGGTTCTCTACAAAGCCATTCAGTTTCCGGTTCTTTTTTCAGTTCCATTTTTTTTTTCTTAGTGTGAAGAACTATTTTAGTAAACCTTTTTTCCACTATAAAGAATGTTTTGTGCATTGAAATGTTCCATGGATGTTAACGGTTCATCATGGAACCACAGATGCCAATAAAGGACCTTTATTTTTAAGAGTGTGTATTAAAAGCCAGTGAGGTCTGATGTTGTTTTGGACCCCATTGATTTTCATTGTATGGACAAAACCATTAAACAGAATATAATTTTTTCCCCCTCCACAGAAGAAAGGAAACCATACAGGTTTGGAATGACACAAGGGTGAATTAATTTTAACTTAGGTGAACTATCCTTTAATTTATTCTGCCTGATGTTGCTCCAAACATAATGTCGAATGTTCAGCGTGCCCTTACATGCTTCTCTTACGGGTTTGTGTGTCACCTTGGGGATTTTTCTGCACAGGTGCTGCAAAGCTTACAAAAACCGAATTGTTATATTCATGTGTCACTCGATGGTTTCAGCTCAGTCTAAGCTCCCTTTGTTTCCATCTATTAAACAGAGCATCTTTGTTGTTGAGCCAAACACATCTCTCATTTGCTTGAGTAGTGTCAAGGGAACGATCTCATTTTTATTGTGTCCATTCTGAGACATTTGGATGCTTCTTTCTTCGCAGTAACCCTTGATTTCTGCAGACATCCCCATAATGTATGTCTACAGGGGAAATAAGGCCTAGTTTTTGTTTGTTGCCTTAAATATGGATCAACCAATAAGATGTATTTTGTGATATCATGATATGGGAGGACAAAGATAATTGTTTTGTCATGTACACAAAGCGAAAAAGGCAACAGGAAATGAGATATTACGGCGTGACTGTTATTTGACAGGAAACAGAGCTGCTAGCTTCACCAGTCAATAAATTATGTGTTAGGAATAAAACAACACAAATCTTAAAACCCTCTGGTCTTAAATAGCTGTTGAGACTTGACCTGGTATAAATTTTCCCTTCTCGAGAGGCAGACTTAACTAGAAGAAGGTCAGCGGTGTTGGGATATACAGTATCAGTGCAGCTGAGTCAGGAGTCAGGTAGAACGAGGCCTGCACACAGGACGAGGTGATGAGATAAATGACTAGGGGGACGAGGAGAATACCTAAGAAAATGAGCCTGGCACTGATGAGAGGAATAAGGGATGATGTCAGACTCCATTAATGAAAGAGAGGTTGATGGGGAGAGAAACACCGGCCGGCAGGGTGGATGCCAGAGCAGTCAGATCATCAACCGCCAATAGGCCTGACCGTGCTCCCCTGGAGGCCTTGACTGACACATCCACAGCTCGCTATTTTTAGTTCACTTCTAAACCACAGTGGGTCAACAGATTGTTTCTACCCCTGTCACTTTCCGTTTATGTCTAAACTGCTCTATAGTTTGCTGCAAACTTGTAGTGACTTTAAATGAAGGCTCCTAAAGGAACCGATTCTTTTCATTCAAAACTTTGTTAGAAGCTGAAGCATATTTAGCAATGACCTATTCACCACTTTTATCCCAAGTGACTTAGATCACACTTAGAACAACTTTTAACGTGAGTGATGTGGTTTTGGAAAGCAGCGCTGATGGACGAGATATCTGTCTAGTGCATATTCACTTAGAAAAACAATGGAAAAGCAGCACAGTAAAATTCAATAAATGGTTTCTGTTTGAACAGTCTGTAAGTGTCATTTTCTTTAAACTACTTTAAATGGTCCAAGAAAGGTTTTCTTTTGGGTTCTTATGGTTTTGAACATGTTTATGCTAGTTTTAAGAAAAGCTTCAAGACTCTAAAACATCATGTAGTAAAATCATCAATTTAAAAAAAGAAAGAAAATATACTTACAGCTTAAATACATGTGAATGTACAAAAAGTATTTGACTTAAAAAAAAGTGTTTTATTTTTTATTATTCATATACTATTATAGTAGTGCATCTTTTAAATGAGCTTTTATTTTATATTCTCAGTTTTATTTTAGTTTTAGTAATTATGTTATGCGCTTTTGTCATTTCTATTTACTTTTAATGAATCTTTATTAATTTAGTTTTAGTAATTTTAGTACTTCAGCTTGAACCTATTTCAGTTAGTTGCATTTTAGTTGCCATTTAAATTTTTTTAAGTTTAGATTTTTTCATTTGATAGGCTATTTATATTGTATTTCACCTTTATTTCAATTACAATATACAGAAAAAAAAAAGATTTTTATTTCCAAAATGACAAACATGCTCATTATAGAAGAGATGTATTCAAGTCATTGTGTACGCATGCCATTTTTTTATGTATTTATGAAGAAATTAATAGATGCGACAAAAAAAGCATCAAGTCTGGTTCTTGTTTTCAGGTGACACCAGGCAGCAAGGCATCTCGGGTCAACCTGTGTCCAGGAGACATCATCCTGGCTATCCAGGGAGCGTCCACTGATGGTATAACTCACGCTGAAGCTCAGAACAAGATCAAAGACTCCACCAATCAGCTTTTCCTCAAGATAGAGAGGTACCGTGAGCGTTTCTCATTAAAGGATAGTGTTACAAACAGCGTTAAGCATCTTTCAACAACTTTATATCAGGTTCTCTCACCTCCTTTTAAAGTTGCAGCCAGAGGGAGTACCGTAAGCTGGAGTTCCAAAAGAATTTGCCTTTACCGCTTGCTATGAAAGTGTCCATCAATACCCACAGAGCCTTATTTATGACAACGATGAATGTGTCTTTCCTCGGTGATTAATGCTCTCTCATAAACCATCTGGCTTGTACATGCCAGTGTGTTGACGTTACTTTACTATCTAGAAGCGGTCATGGCCCTGGTGCACAGTAATGACCCCCCCAGTGCTCTTTGATCTTTTTTTTATGATTTCACAGGAGGCGAGTACATGGTGTCTAACTGTGTGCATTAAATGTGTTGCAGGTCAGAAACAAAAATGTGGTCACCTCAGGTTATAGAAGAGGGGAAAGTGAACCCATTCAAAATCAATTTGGAGGCAGAGAAGCAAGTAAGTGTAATGGAAAAGAAAAACAAATGCACCGTTCTTTATTTTTATCTGCTTATAATATGCAGCATGAATTTTTATTTTTTTGAAGAAACACTAGAGTGCATGAGGCATGTTAAAGGGATATTCCACCCATAAATAAAAATCCTCTCATCATTTACTCATCCTCATGGAACACAAACAGTTATTTTTAGAAAAATACTCCATCTCTGTCAGTCCACATAATGCAGATGGATGGGATGATGCTCAAATTGAACACAACGGTGTTTCATACAACCCCAGTTGATGAATCCATTTCTAACAAAATGATAGATGTGTATGAGAAAAATACGAATGTGAAACTCTTACATCAATTCTAATATACTTTAATACAGCCATACATCAATAATAGAATATTGATACTAATATTGATGTAAGCGCATTGCGTGCGAGAAGTGACGGTCCTTCCGTATCACTTCTCGTAAGTTTCACAATGCATTTACGTCACGCTTCACAACACGCTGATGTTTGAGCCATGCATGAACTCATCAACCTGTGCATGACAGTTGGCTGGAAGGAATGGTTTATATCTTACAAAGTTTAAAATATTGGTATTTTTCTCACCTTTCATATCGCTTCATAAAATATTGATTCATCATATGGATGACCGTTGTGTTCATTTTGAGTGCTTTTTAAAGCGTCATCCCATCCGCCAGCATTATATAGTATGGACTCACAGAGATGGATTATTTTTCTAAAAAACTGAGTTTGTGTGCCACAGAAGAAGGAAAGCCATATGCATCTGGGACCACGAGAGGGTGAATAAATGATGAGAGGATTTTAATTTTTGGGTATCCCTTCATAAACTGTGCTAAGCTGCTATTTTTTTGTTTGATTTGTCCTTGTACAGGAAAAGTTCACCTAGAAATGGAAATTTGCTAAATCCACTGGATTCTCTGCAGTGAATGGGTTCCGTCAGAATGAGAGTTCAAACAGCTGATTAAAAAAAAAACATAATTCACAAGTAATCCACTTGACACCAGTGCCTGTTTGTAAGAAATATAAGAGAAAAACATATTTCTCTCCTGATTCAGTCTTTTTTCCCCCACTGGAACCAATATTACGAAAAAATAACTTGTATTTAAGTTGGAAGCAATGGTTTAAAGTTAAAAATGTTAATTGACTGGAGTCGTGTGGATTATTGTGTTGTTTTTTTTAGCTGTTTGAACTCTCATTCTGACGGCACCCATTCACTGCAGAGGAACCACTGGTGAGCAGGTGATATAATAAAGAAAAAAAGAAAAAGAAATGAAAAATGTGACCGCTTGAAAAACAATATAACAGATTAGAAAAATGTAAATGAGTTCAAGCGTATGCAGCATCTAAAGGACTTATCTGCTGAATGTGGTATGCAAATGTGGTGTTTGTGTGGGGCTTTGAGTATGTAGTGTGTCCATCTGTCCTACACACGCAGGAGTATAAACCTATTGGCACAGGTCATAACAGAAGAGCACAGCCCTTTGTGGCTGCCGCCAGTCTGGATGACAAAACGCAGATTGAACTCATCAACCTGTGCATGACAGTTGGCTGGAAGGAATGGTTTATATCTTACAAAGTTTAAAATATTGGTATTTTTCTCACCTTTCATATCGCTTCATAAAATATTGATTCATCATATGGATGACCGTTGTGTTCATTTTGAGTGCTTTTTAAAGCGTCATCCCATCCGCCAGCATTATATAGTATGGACTCACAGAGATGGATTATTTTTCTAAAAAACTGAGTTTGTGTGCCACAGAAGAAGGAAAGCCATATGCATCTGGGACCACGAGAGGGTGAATAAATTATGAGAGGATTTTAATTTTTGGGTATCCCTTCATAAACTGTGCTAAGCTGCTATTTTTTTGTTTGATTTGTCCTTGTACAGGAAAAGTTCACCTAGAAATGGAAATTTGCTAAATCCACTGGATTCTCTGCAGTGAATGGGTTCCGTCAGAATGAGAGTTCAAACAGCTGATTAAAAAAAAAACATAATTCACAAGTAATCCACTTGACACCAGTGCCTGTTTGTAAGAAATATAAGAGAAAAACATATTTCTCTCCTGATTCAGTCTTTTTTCCCCCACTGGAACCAATATTACGAAAAAATAACTTGTATTTAAGTTGGAAGCAATGGTTTAAAGTTAAAAATGTTAATTGACTGGAGTCGTGTGGATTATTGTGTTGTTTTTTTTAGCTGTTTGAACTCTCATTCTGACGGCACCCATTCACTGCAGAGGAACCACTGGTGAGCAGGTGATATAATAAAGAAAAAAAGAAAAAGAAATGAAAAATGTGACCGCTTGAAAAACAATATAACAGATTAGAAAAATGTAAATGAGTTCAAGCGTATGCAGCATCTAAAGGACTTATCTGCTGAATGTGGTATGCAAATGTGGTGTTTGTGTGGGGCTTTGAGTATGTAGTGTGTCCATCTGTCCTACACACGCAGGAGTATAAACCTATTGGCACAGGTCATAACAGAAGAGCACAGCCCTTTGTGGCTGCCGCCAGTCTGGATGACAAAACGCAGGTGGTGAGCTCCACCTACAACACTCCCATAGGCCTCTACTCTCAAGATAACATCCAGGACGCCCTGCAAGGACAGATCCGGGGTCTGGTGCATGAAAAGCCTGAGGGGTGAGTGCCAACATGGATCACCCCAACCATATGGACTAAGATACTTCTCTCTGCTTGCTGTAGGCCGGCTGCCCACTTACCACTAACACACACTCGGATCCTCCAGAAGTCCACACAAGTCTTCCTGCAGCCCGAATATAAGCATTTGGATAGAGAATTATGATGGAAAGAAGTTAATTGGGTTCTGTTAGAGATAAGAAAGGGCAACCCCTTATCTAATACTTTCATACTAGTATATTATAGCAGAACAAATATTCACATTTGGGCCTGCAGAGTTGGATCTTGGAGGACTTCTGCTCCTTTACCTTTCACCTCTAACTGTCTATTCACATCTTCGCTCTTATGTCTTACAGGACATTGATTACTTCGAACACAAGTTTAATGTCAGACCAAAGCCCTTCATATCTGCAAGCCAAAAGAGGTCATTAGACAAAACCACCCTACATGTAGTCAAATATGGTCACTTGATAACAGTAGAATTTGTACATTTTTACATTCATTCAGCTATAAAGCTGCAGCACAGTATATACTGAAGCTCTATGTAAATCTCTAACTACTTCTTCCATTCTTTTCTGTCTTGTTTGTCCTTTTCTGTGTCCTCTGTGAGGCCCCACTGATTTGATTGCTTCCTGGTTTGGTCCACCTGGTTATTATACACTGACCTTACACAACTCCAGTAACACTACATCCCAGACGCTGAAGGGAAATGTAGCTCAGATGCCTGGCACCCCGTCGGCTGGGTCCAAGGCAGCTCTTTCTGCACAGTATAACTCCCCCATTGCATTATACTCAGCAGACAATGTCTCAAATACACTGCAGCAGGCTCAGATGTCCACTGTAGTCAGGCAGGCATCGCCCAGGTAACCAGAGCTTTGTTTACACCACCTTACAAATCTACTAGCTTGTGCTATACAGTAAGCATAGCTGAATAAGGACCTGATAGATTAAAGACACAGGGTTCCTACAAAAAACTTCAAAATATTTTGGGGAAAAAGGAAAATATTGCAAATGTGCACTCTAAAAATAAAGGTTATTTAATGGCATCTGTGGTTCCAGATCCAGACCTTTAACATCCATGCAAACTTTCCATTGGAAAAAGGGTTCTTTGGATTTTTAAAATGTTTTTCACACTAAGAAAAAATTGTTCTTTTACCAACTGTTCACTGAAAGGCTCATTGGGAACCTAAAATGGTTCTTCTAAGGCACCACAGTGAAAATCCCCTGTTTGGAACCTTTATTTTCAAGACTGTAGGCCTGTAATTAAATATTAGTAATGGAAACTTCTACATAAGGAATATTGGTTCTGGTCAATATGCGATTAAACAGAAATAAGCATGACCAAAAAAAGATTGTTTACTTTATTTACAATGAAAGTCTATGGGGTAATGCATAAATGCACACAAGACAAACATGGGTTTATATGAGACTAGTTTCAAAACCTGTTATGACCATGTTAAACCACAGAAAACACAAAATAAATAGAAATTCATTGACTTAGAACAGTAGCTCCACTGCTAAGTTATGATTTAGACAGCTTTACAATTCAAACAGCACCAACTGTGGTAATCGACAGCATGTTGATGCTGAATTGAATCCAGGACATTCTTTAAACTTATTTTATACCAATGAAAGTTCTAAACAGTTTCATAGCCAGCATCTAATATTCATAATGTGTCCTCCTGAGCACTGCCAAACTTTTATATAACACAGAATTATGTTTTTTTTTTTTTTTTTACTTCATGGACAAACATTGTGGGCTTCTGCCTTTATTTGTTTTCAGCCCTATACCCCTGACGTCCATTGAAGACTCTCATGTGTACCGTATGCTCCAGGACAACCAAGAGCAGCCACATGAACCACGTCAGTCTGGATCGTTTAAGGCCCTGCAAGACTATGTGGAGAGTGATGGTGAGCTGCCTTTATCTGTTACTTCACAAGACAGAAATTACAGCTTGCTGCACTGATAAAGATGTCAAAGTTTAAATGTCAGCAAATATTCTGGTGAACTACAGATGCACTTGAAAAGTAATAGTTTTGCGGGCCCAATTTGATTTAAGCTGCCTTCACTATTCTCAACAATCCTGCTAATGACGTCAGTCAGAGCCCGCTGTTCTCTTAATAGTCTGGATTCAGTATGAGGGAGAATTTCACATTGCCGAAGTGGATCTGAGACTCTTTATTCCTCTGACAGGCACAAGGCCCATAGTGACTAGAAGTGTAAAAGCCCCAGTGACAAAGCCTCAAGCTGCCACATCCTCACTCCAGAAGCTGCCTCTCTGTGATAAATGTGGCACTGGCATTGTGTGAGTACGGCATTCAGCACGAGACCATACAGATGGTGTCTTCTTTGAGAATATAGTACCAATTTTCATGAAAACTGTTCTACACTGAATAGTATTCATGCATTTTAACAACTTCATTAAATCAAAGTTTTTCTACAATTGGCTCACAGTGGACCAGTGGTGAAAGCTCGGGACAAGTACCGCCATCCAGCCTGTTTCGTGTGCTCAGACTGCGGCTTGAACTTGAAGCAGAAGGGCTACTTTTTTGTGGAGGGACAGATGTACTGTGAAGCCCATGCTCGAATGCGAATGACCCCACCTGAGGGACATGATCTAGTTACTGTATATCCTACTGCTTAGAGGGACTGACAGTTGAAATTAGATGACTGGTGTTGTTTGCGATTATTGCTTGTTGATGTTCTGTTATTCATTTCTTAGTTTATAAAAAGAAATGCAATGCCAATTTAAAGCCATATACACAAGGTATTAAGATGTTTTTAGTGATTGGATCATTACTACATTACTGTTTACACCTGGTATTAACATGCATTAGGCATTGCTTCACTGTGGTTCGGGAAGCATTCAGGATGGACTGAATTTAAAAGCAGTGTGTTCACATGTGTTTCTGACTACCTTTGCATGGTTCACTGATACAATTCCAAAACATGCAAGACCCCACAAAGCATTTTGAGCACTGACAACTGATCTGATCACAGTTAATGCAAGGTGTAAATGGGATCTATACTCTCAAAACTCTTTCTTAAGGCCTTAATCTAGTTCTTGTTGAAATGCTGTTAATTGACTCTCCCATTTCTCACATATTAGGCTTCTGTGCAGAGCAAATACTGAAATTAAACAAACTATAAACTACCTTTAGGTTTCAGTTATTCTAAAATATGAAAGAAAGATAATTTTGCTTTTAATACAGGTTTAAATATGCCATCATCTAGGTACAAAGTATTTGGTAATCAGTTTCCCAGTACAAATTATTTTTAATGTTTTTTTTTAATATATATAATTTATATTACTAATACTTGTGCTGCATTATTTTTTTCAATTCTCATGTTTCTAAATGAACTTATAGGCATAGTTCACACAAAGCAGAAAACTGTCATAATTTACTCAGCTATCCCTTTAAGGCCATGCACCTTTTATAACACATAAGATGAAAGGTTTATTATATCACAACATTGTAAATTATGAGACATTTGAAATTATTTGTCTAGACCATATTCATAAAATGAATGACATTAATGCTGCAAAAACTTGTAAAAATTTAAGAGCTTACTGAATTGGCCAAACACCTTGCTGGTTAAATACATACTATGTGTTTTTAATGTTTAATAACTTGTGATTTTAGACAAAAGTGTCTCAGTGTACTACTGACAAAATGGTACACAGTGGTTAAACATCTCTAGATGCTATGAAACAAGTATTTTTTTCTGGGGCAGTAGTACTGAGCATAAGCTCTTTTAGTTCATCTTGAGCATAACATAAGGTTTTTTGAGTTTATCTTTATCAGTTAAGAGAATGATGTAAATACAATTCAAAATTGTAGCTTTTTAATCTAAAGACCAATATATGACATTCATTTATTCACCTGAAGACATCACACGTTCTTAATACGCCATCACAGAGGGGATTCGGTTGTAGTTTGTGGAGTTCACAGCTCTGTAAAATAAAGTAATTTACATTACTGTGAGTCTGAAGTGTCTTATTCTGTGGAACTTAGTCAGCAACTGATATTAGTGATTATTATGCTAAGCATTAAGCACTTTTTAGAGTGTGATATGAGTGTCTTGGTGCTAGTTCCTGGAGCTCAGCTTACTTATTGACATTGAGGCTGATGATGCTCTTGACAGGTGTGCTCTTTGGACCAGGGGAGGGATGAAATATTTTTACTTCCTTATTCATCATTGCTGATTTGGTATTTTTGGAACCATAGGGTTCTGCAGAGTAGGTGGGGTAGGAATCAAACGCTCCTGCTTTCATACCTCCAGTCTGCAAAAAATAAATACGCCACCAAAATGTACCAAGATGGCAACTCTTTCCATATTCATTTCATGAAATTTTTACACTGTGTTTGATCTCCTTTACGTACCTTTTTACTGGGCGAACTTGGTTTGAAGGGCACCGTAATGTGCTTTTTCTCCTCTGTCTTCTTTGGAGGTGGTAGAGGTTTGTCAAATTTGTAAGGATTGCTGTCAAAGCATTCAACTGGATGAAGGTTCAAACGAAACGCTCCCCCTTTTAGCATGGATTTGTGTGCCATGATCTCACGCTGGTAAACAAATTATCTCTCTCATTAGAGAAAGAGAACAGTCATCTGCTTGCATAGAATTATACTGTCAGGTACTCAGAGGACGCCTTATCTTAATTAAAACAAGGACCCGGGAGTCTGATTAAAAATCTCATTTAGGTAGACCTAAAAATACCTTTAGCATTTCCTTGGCTCTGTCATAGGGGTCTGAGGAATGGGACACCATCTTGGAGAGGGTGACATCAGGATAGCTATTAGGGCGCAAGGACAAATCAATACGTCAGACAGCAAAACCACAGAAACTTGCACATTAGAGGATAATGTCATTTGCTTACCCGTAACCACTTCCCTTCTTGGGCGGATTGCTGTAGATGTTTTTTCCAGGTGATTTGTTTGGTTTCCTTGGATTCTGTAGGGCACTCATTGCTTGAATGGGGCCTCCAAATGTCCCATAATAGCTGCCCACTCCACATCTACAAATCAGAGAAAACCATTAAGCAACTGTAAGAACAGTTTCAGGAATAACTGGAAAAATTGTAAGCTGCCTGGCAGTTTTTTCTGGTATAAATAGGGAAAAGAAGAAGAAAAAAATCAACAACAAAAATACAGACATCTACCTAGTTCTGTGACTAGCAGCCTTAATGGCTCACTCAAGCTATTATTCCTCTGGCTATTATTCCTCTCAGATGCACATGAAAACCAGACTGTTTGCATTTGATGCTTTGAACTATTGCAACATGGTGAAATCCTTTTATTTGAAAAATTAAGGACTATATCTTGTTTTCAGGTCAACAAACATCATTAAAAAGCACAAAGCATGTTTCTTTCTCGACAAAATCTTGTTTCTGGAGTGTTTTTATGTCTTCAGATTTTAATAGACCATGCAAACCAATGCCTACCTCTCACACTAATGAAATATCACTGAACCAAATACATCTCAGGTGCAACTTTGTTCTCCTTGGTGTAAAGACTGAATATATCTCTCTGGATAAAATCTGCACCAGTAAACCAGTCAATAAAGCTATTAAAAATTAGAGGGATAGTTCATCCAAAAAAGAAAATTCTGGTTATTGATTATTCACTCACCCTTATGTCGTTCAAACCTGTATGATTTTTTTTTCTTTTGTTGAATAATTGTTGAAAGATATTTTTTAGAAATATCTCCATACAATATGAGTCAATGGTCGACAAAATTGTTTGGTTACCAACATTCTTCAAAATGTCTTCTTTTTGCTCCGTAGAAGAAAGTGATACAGGTTTAAAATAAAATGAAGGCGGGTAAATGATAGACGTTTTTCATTTTTGGGTGGACTATCCCTTTAAGATTTTGTCCATTGTCACAACAACATCAACAATGACCACAATACTACTACGACGAGTACTACTATTTTCGTCTTATATTTTCACAATTATTTATCACATAAAACATTTTTTTTTTAATGAAAATGCATACATACACAAATAAATACAAATTTGCCGTGTGCCACAGAAAAAAAAGGAACTCACGTTTTTTTCTCTCCGTTACTGGGAAGAAAGGCTTTGCCTATGTTCCTTTTGGTCTGCTGTATCCTGTACTGTCTTTCTATTTTGACAGGGTCTGTGAACGCCTCTCTCTCAAAGATCCTCTTAAACTGCGTGTCGAAGTATCCCACCTGGAGCGCGCTCTTTGATTTAGCTCTTCCTGACAACATCTGTTTGTTCTTGTATGCGGAGTCATTAAATGGGCCTTTTAGTGACAAACAAAGTGCATGAGACAGACATTAAATATTTTGCAAAATTATTAACTTTTTATTTTCTATATTATGCGGGGCTAGTTGTCACATTAACCCATGTGTATGTTGTAGGCTACTGTACATGTTTATCCAGTTACACAAATGCTTATTGTATCTAGCTGAGTTTTAGTAGCCTAATGTATGTGGGTTGCAAACGTTACATGTTTGTAATGGCTGTTAGATAAACTAGTAGCTAAACAATATACAGTAATCACACTGATACATTCCGACAAGAGTCAACTACATAATGAAGGGTTTAACTCGGCTGAACTGTGTTCTCATTAGATTTACGTTCAGGACAAATTATTAAAGACAAGACTTTTAGTGCCTTTAAACTGACTTCAGAAATATTCGCTGGTGTAAAAATGTGACAAGTAGCAACAAGCCTCCACTATGAACAACAATCCTTCAAAAACAGGCGAAGTGAACCTGTTCGCCAAAACGGCGACTGTTACAACAACTGAGGCTAAAACTATTACTTTTGGACGCCAAATCCATTAGTAAAAAAAATAAAAAATACACGATAGACTGTGAAAGCTGCACTATTGTAAATAAATACCGTGTTTGTGATTTTTCTATAATGAAAATTGTATTTTGACGTTATAATTTGTTGACGCACTCTACGCAACAAACTCAGCACTGCACCAGCTACTGTAGTTCATACTATTAAAGTTTAATGTTGGTTACACTTACGGTAAATGAACGGTGTATATTTGTCCCCTATTGAGATGTATCCCAACTCTTTAAAAATGCCAATCCGCTCCATGTCAGATTTCCCTTCTGGAAGCATTTTCTAAAGTTTTATATACAGCACTTTTGGGGGGGAAAAAACAAAAAAGCCATAAGAAAGACAGAGGGATGTGAATGTGGAAATATGAATGGACCTATGCAAACTATGCAGACCATCAAGCGATAGCTCCTTTAAGCAACTCTATATACAGTAGGCTAGCCTATGCATTATGTATTCTTGCACTAATAAATACAGGTCCATATACATACCTCGAATTATGTAATGCCCTGTGTTAAACAGTCAGTAGCCTAATGGAAATAACTCCACTGCTGTGGTGTTCGTGTAGGTTGTGTACGTTGTCATGGAGTCCAGCAGGTCAGTTACTCAGTAAGCCGGACTGTCAGAGTCGTTCATAAGGGTAACGCATTTAACAACACAAACATTTAACAAATTACACTAAAAACATAACGTTTTGGATAAATAATCTTATGTTTTTTTTTCTACCTGCACATCAAAACCTGTGACGCAAACAAGGAGGAATTCTGGGTATTGCAGTAAAATGAAAACTCCACACACAACAGTAATTAGCTAACACATGTTTAGGAAAAACTCGCTGAAAAATGTTACAAAATCCTATTTATGGAAACCGAAATACTTTATATTAATATATATACTTTAAATGATCACAATTTGCATTTCCATGAACATATAAAAACCTTATACTGTGAAATGTACAAAACCATTTAGATAGACTGCAACTGCAGTTTATCTCAATCAAGAAAACTACATCCTTTTCAAGTCATCCATAGTGATGGCAACAACCTGCAACAAAAGTGAAGCAGTTGTAATTACACTTTTGACTGTAAATGTTTTAAGAACCAACACGAACTTAAGTGTAGCCTATATCTCACATTTTCGTGACAGGGGTCTTCATAGTCACAGATGTCGTTGGGAAAGGCTGCTCGGACCATCTCTTTGAGCTCAGCTGGGTACACATACGTGCATTTGTCACGTGTGCTGCAGCCGAACCTGTTCAACTGTCAACATTTGCGTTAAGATCACCCAAAATAAAGTAAAAAATTATAATACAATACAAAGTGATGCTTACTAACTGACGCTGGATTAAACGATAAACTTTTCTTCGTTTGATCCGGTCTGTCTTCTTCAGCCTGGAGGCCGCGTGGAGCAACGGCCCCACCCAGAGGGGCACACTAGACATGAAGACC